TAGAAATAGAAATTTATGACTTTTCAGTTGTGTTTAAAACTTTAGTAACAAACAAGATCATTGAGAGGATAATAGAAAAGATTCTTCCTCCATAATTTTGTAGATACACATACACAAATGCATTCAGGTTAAAGGGTTTGAAGACACTTTTGAGAACAGCCGAGGGAAGTGGGTGTGGAGGGCATGAGCACTTGGAAGAGCTGTGTTAGACGTTGAGGGTGAGCTTGTTGGGAAAAGGCTTGCCAAGTGATAAAAGGTGTCCCATGTGACACTGGGTAATTGATGTGTTGGGACATTGGTTTGTTCCAGTATTCCCTTCTTAGCTATGCTGAAGGTCAGGTTCAGTTTGCCCATTGAGCTGTTTCTCCAGCTAAGTAAGAGAATCACAGGGGCCAGTTGGTGGTAGGCACGCCTTTGTCCTCAGCACTTGGGAGGCAAAGGCAGGAGGATCTCTGGTAGTTCAAGGCCAGCCTGGTCTACAGAGTGAGTTCCAGGACAGCCAGGGCTACACAGAGACACCCTGACTTAAAAAACAAGACAGAACAAAACAAAAAAGAGAATTACAGGAGACTTAAGATGGTTCAAAAGGGAAGGATGGTCATGACAGGGTCTAAGCTGGATTTAAAAGGGAAGTTGAGACAGACGCTGATGTTAAGAACTCCAACTGTGGGAGGACCTGTCAGTTAGTTTCTTCAGAGTCTCAGGGCATTTATGTAGATGGGTAGGCAGGCAACAGTAGTTAGCTAGGTATAGCTAATAGGTATCTCAGTCCACCATCTTGAAGTTGTACTGGTTCTGGGAGATAAAGTCCAGGATGTTGGTATTAGAAGTCCTTGGCCAAGGTAGAGTAGATGGCCTCTGTGGCCAAGGGGCGCCATGTTTTATAAGAAGTGGTGCAACATATATGTTTTCACATTTGCAGCAGGCTTGGTCTGCTAATGCCCACTGAGGACCTCTCCCGAATTCCTCCCTTCTCTACTTGCCTCCACTTTCTGGACGGTGGTCAGTGCTGTGTGTTGATGAGCTTTTATACTTTTAGGCCCTTTCTCGTTAAAGTGATCTTGAGAAGCCTAGAGCAGAAGTTGTTGGGCAACATCAGCAGGATGGAGCTTACTTCTCACGTGACTTCAACCTGGATCTTTGTCCTGCCTGCTCTCTAGGACTGTGTTAATTGGCATCTCTAACACACCTGAGCTGGGCTTCTTAGTTTCCAGAGAGCACTTAGATAAGTCAGTATTTTCCTGGGGCCCAGAGGAAGAGCACGACAAGAGGGATTAGGAAGACATCTGTGGCTGTGCCTAAGACGTAAGAGGGAAAGAACACTCAGCTTTGCCATGCAAGAAGTAAGCACTTGCCCCGCTCGCCTGTGATGACAGTACCAGCAAGGGTAAAGCAAGAAAACTGAGGAGTTAGATGCCAGCCTGGTCTAGTCGCAGGCTAGCAGACTCAGCCCCATAAAAGACACTGACTTCAAAAGGCAAAGGCTCTTCAAGGAGTTGTTCTGACTTGTAGACTCAGGCATGGAAATAGTCCAGGTTTCTCTGACGCCGAGACTCGTGGTGGAAGGAGGCACCTCACAGGCTGTCATTTGACCATGACAGGTGGGTCTTACAGTTAGATCCCTGTGGTAATTACTCCTTCCTTGTCCCTTCTAGGTTAAACAGCTGCAGGAGGAAACACCACAGGATGGTATTATGACTGAAGCTTTGCCTCCTGCCAGAAAGGAAGGCGACTTGCCACCACTGTGGTGGCATATTGTGACCAGACCTCGGGATCGGCCAGTGTAGGTGCAGGCCCCTCACTGTTTGTGCTTACAAGTGAGAGAAGTTACAGAACACGTTCACACTTGCCCTAATAAAGATAACTGAACATGGTCGGCTGTGACTGAAGTCTTCTTCCAAGGATCACTGTGGCACCAAATGTTTGCCTGTATTGTGGTTTGGTTTTTACTGTGTATGCCATGTTTTTATTTAAAAAAATTACATGCAGAATTATATTAATAGCACATGTGCTCCGAAAGGAAAAACTTTAGAGGAATAAATGGGAGATTGTTAGGGCCAGGTTGGCTTTTTATCTTTGTATGTGCATTTGAGCACACATGTGCAGGGCAGAGAACCATTCAGGTGGTGCTGTTCACCTCCCATCTTTGAGATGAGGTCTCTTAGGCATTGTTGTACCTAGCACTATCTCTGTAGCCCAAGACCTAGTTGAGGCTTAAAATGAAGGCCTACCTAGTAAAGGGAAGGAATAAACAGAAGAATGAAAACTTTAAAAGAAAAGAAAGAAAGAAAAAAGCCAAAAGATTTAAGTGGTTTCTCAGTGAACTTTATGTTTGCTAGGATTACGGCTTGTACTACCGCCCCCTAGCTACCTTCTTCATTTTCTAAAGGTTTTACTAATGGGATTTTAGTCTGAAAAAAGCAGCTTTCCACAAGCAGCATAGAGGCATGGCGTTCAGGACATAGCAGAGGTGGAACGCAGGTCTGATGGTTGGGCCTTCAGGGTCTAATGTGGGATGCCAAACTTGTGACACTTGGGATACAGAAGAGCAGATTGTTTGCAGACCTTTTCAAGTATTCAGCTTACTTTTTACAAAGGTAAAGCAGAGGAGGCTAGCAGTCATCCCGATTTATCCCAGGGCCTACACGCGTGAAGAACTGCTGCCCAGACTGCCCAGTGACCTCCATTGCAAACACTATGGCACGCCAGCGCATACCTGTTATCTCAGCACTCAGGAAACAGTGCAGGTGCATCTGAGTTCAAGGCTGCACTAGCCTGCAAGTCTAATAACTGCAACAGGCATGACTTGGTGAACGTTTTCTAAGCTCCTTTGGAGGCTCTGTCCATGTTCTAACATTTGACCTAAGACCTCAAGCAATCCGAATGAGACCTGAGGACTTTTTCTTAGTGGCTCTTTATTTATAAGGTAGGCAGAAGCAACTGTTACAATGTAGAAGGGAGACACATTACACACGGTTATCTATACAAGTTTAGAACAAAAACACAGGGAGAGGTCAACTCTCAATACAAACTAGCAACTAAACCACAATAATTTACCTTTAGAAAGGGTTCGTTTTCAGCTGTGACACTGCTTTTACAATATGCAAAAACACAAACAGAACTACTCAAGGTGTTTGTCACATTCTTTCTACATTGAATTTGGCAACAGTTTATATTAACTTTATTCGGATTATACTAACGTTTAAAAACTAAACAAATGAAAAGCTGTACCAACGTACAGTTACATCCATTCCTTTCAAAGGTTTAAAATACCACTTGTATCTATTAGAATGACCTTGCAGCGATTTCTGCATTTGCAAAAACCATCTCAAGCATCATATGCACAATGCATCAGCTACTTTGAGTCATCAAGATTGGTGGGCTAAACCACAGGCACTACTGTTTGCTTATAGTCTGTAAAAGGAGCTTGTTTTTCAAAGAAAAGAGCTTAAGTCATTTCTAATAATCATGCCTTTGCCTTAAAGCCATAACATAAAATGTCCTTTGAACAATCACAGCAGTGTTAAGTGTTAATATATAGAACAATGACTAGAGGAACGTTACTCTCACATCCAATGTGGTTATGTATTAAAGTATAAGACTATGTCATCGGAGGCTAGAGCCAACAGAGATCCACAGAGCGCACAGGACCCACCAAGCTTCTTGTCCTACAAAGTCAAGTGTGTCCTGTCAGCTCCTGTGCTGCTGAGGGCACCTTTCTAACATGTGGACTCTTGAAATCTACATATTTCTCTGTTGACTTTAGAGATGGGCATTGTAACAAATTTAACTTCCACTTAAAAGAATAGACAAATCCATTAAAAAAAAAAAAAAAAAAAAAGACATTGCCCGAATAGAAATCAGACTCCCAATGACAGTAAATAAATCTTTGCTCGCTTTGGTGTTTACAAGCCAATCAACTGCCCTTCTGTAAGGAAGGGAAGAAAAACAAGCCCCCAGATTGGTAAGCACATTGGCAAAATTGCTAGACTCCAAGCTGGTCACCTTTGATAAATCTGTTTGAGTTTTTTTTTTTTTTTTTTTCTTCAAAATATCTGGGCTTTTCAATGTACCCAGCCTGCTGGGCACAGTTAAGTAAAAGGCATTTTCTATATCTAAGAATTCCCTGCTATCATTTTTTAAAATGTTTTCTCGTTTTCTGAATTGCCTTACCCCTTTGGATGTATTTGGATTCAGTGGAAGTGAGTGTAAGAGACAAGAAAGTAAATAGGAGACTATGTCTACCCATGGCAGCAGCATGCGCAGGACTGGATGTGGGTGCTGTGCGGCCAAGAGGAATGCTGGGAGAAAGGAAGTCCTTAAAAACCCTACAGAAACAAACACTGCAATCTAGTATGGCTTATTCAGATGCGTTAACCATGAAGCTACTGGAAATTCAACCTACGAGGCTACTCTTAAATGTAACAGGATTGGCTATGTTGACAGTGTGCCCCTCCCACAGCCCTCCCCCCAATCCCAACACAGTCCACCATGTCCAAGTTTATTTCTCTGCATATTGCTCAATTGTTACTCCTGCGTTTCTCTCCAGAACACAGTATATGTGAATGAGGGTTTTACAACCCTTATCCGTTGTGTTTGTCCATTAAAAAGAACTTGAATTTGCTTCTAAACTAGACGACTACAGTGCATCTACAAAAGCATGAGGGAGGAAAAAGAACAACTAAGTAAGTAATCCTTTTGTGAAATTACTCTGAGGTTTCCCCGACCCACCCACCCCCTCCCAGTTATGCATTTAAAATTTTACAAAGACTTGTAAAAAAGTTAAATGGAATTTGGCACCTTCAGAAAAATCAAAAGGGAAACTAAGATTAAAATATGCAGAAAGAAACTGTCAAATATTTACAAATTAAAAGATCAGGATTATGTCAATTACATATGTTGCTTTTAATTCTTATCTAAAGATGTTGAATATTTTGCAAAGAGCAGAATTCCGAATTGCCTACAAAAATCTTTTGCTTGATTATAGACTGGAATGGATCTCAGACAAATTAGGTTTTATTAATGAAAGAGTTCATTCCCCATTGGCAGCATTTCCTGGGAACTATGAGAGCCTAAGAGAAGCGAGGGGCTGAGCGATCGTTGGTGGTGGTCTTCTTCAGTTTCACGCCCCTCCGGATGGCATTCAGCATGTCTTCTCCCTGAGGAGTTTCTCTTGGGCTCAGGTCTGCGGGGTCACTCTCCGGAATCGGGCCTGGGGAGACAGTGGCACTTGGGGGGTCCCTTTCCTGGTCTTCAGCCTCGCTCTCTGGAATCGCCTGTCTGTGCTCCTCAAGTATACTGGACTTTGGGCCTGGAAGTGGAGGGTTGACAGACGCTTGGCCACTCCACAAGGAAGAGGGTATGTTGGTGACACCCTGGGGTCCCTCCCCCAAAGATGGAGACTCAGGGCTGTGCTCACCCCGCTCCTCTGGCCCATCTGGAGGGGATGGCAAAACCCCAGGGAGGTCTGGGACAGTTGGGGTCTTGACAGGGATCACTGGTGTCTTGATGGGAATAGGACCAGCTCCGATGGTCCCCCGGCGGACAGAAGGCTTAGTGGAAGGGGTCCGTCGGATGGTCGCAACCCCTGGTGTGACCACAGCAGGTCCGAGGGTGGTGGGAAGGCCAGCAGTTGAGGCTGGACGCTTAGCTTGGAACATCCGCCTGTAAGATTGGCTGATGTCACTGTTCCTTGGAATGGTGGAGGACTTGTCAAACTCCTGCTGCTCTGCCTCCTGGTCACCGCTTACAGAGAAATAATCATAATCTGAAACTGAGGATGGGATTTGATTAGATGGATTCGGGTCCAGGGCAATAGCTCTTCTTTTCCCATGCCATGGCAGGAGGACGGGAATCACACTAGGCAGAGTGCAGAAGGCCTCACCCTCCCCTGCCCTGATGCCGAAACATTGCCTTAGTACCAGGTCCCTGCAGGAGACCTTGCTCTGTTCACTGACGTTCAGTGGAGGGGGGAAGAACCCCAGACTACTGAGCAACAGAGCCGCTGCCAACCACCTCTGGGAGGGATACAGACGGTGAAAGGTGATAAACTTGTCCAGTCCTCTGGTCCAGAATTAAACATGAGAAAACTCACACAGACCAGCGTTGGCCTTACCGTCTGCCTGATAACTAACTGCTCAAGTGAGGGCTAGAGAAGAACGGAGTTCTGAAACCAAAGTACAAAGGCTCATGTGCTCGAACCTGCTTTAAAATGGCACCGTGTGTATTTCAGAGTGACGGGGGAGGGAGGATGCCGGCCGTGAGCACTGCATGGCCACGCAGCTGAACAACAGGTCAGCTGAAACTGGAGGCGTGAGGCTGGATAACTGCTGTTGCAGTGAGGTCCTCTACCGTTTTTAGAGGGGGTTAGTCTACCTCAGCCTCTACGTGCTGGATACAGAGCGTCCCCGCAGTTCTGACTACTGAGGATGTCCAGACTTCGCTGAATGTCCCTGGTGGGAAGGCTTGCCAGTTACAGGTGCCAGAGTGATGTTAACTGGCAGATGCCTGTTTTGCCTACCTTGTGCACATGGTGATGAGGGAGAGAGGCAGGGTGCCGGGAAGCTTTTTCTGGCTAGATTAAGAATTTGTGGACTGAACTTCATTTCTTAAACAGGAGTTGTGTGGGCTGGTCAAGTTACTGAGCTTTGGTGTCCACATTTGTAAAAATGGGTGTAAAATATCTCTCCTGTGTAAGACTGTGAAGGTGAAAGGGTGCTAGGCACAAAGCACCAAGCAAACAAGAAGCTGTTACTAATGGCCCACACCTCGTTTCAGGTCGGAGGGCATCATATACTGATGGCGAGAGATGAGCAAAGTGCTAATGTTCAGGTCATTCTTATGCAGCAGCTAGCTACCAGTCAGCTACCGATCACCGGCCCCAAAGCACCCTCGGATGACAGAGTAAGTCCAAAGCCCATCTGGAGCCAGGAGATACGCTGTGGTAGGCCCGCCGCCGGCTCGCTGCCTCCTCACCTGGAGCCGCCCGGAAAGCCGGACGGCAAGCTGGGCGCCGCGTACCTTGGGAGGGGATGGTATCCTCAGAGCAGCATGGGGTAGTGGTCTGAGTGCTGTAGCCACTGGAGCACTGCAGTGAGTCTCGGCTGCTCCTCTGTGTGTCCAGCTGAAGGCCCCGGGACAGGGCAAGTGCCAGTTCCTCACAGGCCTCCATCTCCTCACCAGGCTGCACGATGGGGGACAGACACACAAGCCACCACGGCCATAAAATTGGAGACCAGAGCTGCCACACATACTGCCTTAGGTGGGACCCCAGATCACGCCTATGAGCACATCAGCTGACTCAGACCTGCGTAGTCCTCATTCCGCAACCAGGGATTTCTACATGTCTTATTCCTACGCAAGGATTCTCTTTTACACACGGTAGAGCTGGGAAGAAGAATGGGGGCCCACTCCTCCAGCTGCTAGGCTATCTGGACCCCCAGTGCTGGCCATGGTTCCCAGTCCCCATCTTGGCCCAATTATGAGCCCAACCGGACACAGAGAACACCATCTCACCCTGGTGGCGGCTGACACAGTCATGCTCCTTGGCCTCTGCGCCTCTTCCGAAGCTGCAGGTGGACCTCCTGTGGTCGTGGCTCCTCCCCCATTGGAGTCTGGCTCGCGCTTCTCTTTGCGGCGCTGGAGGGTGTTCACCATTGGCTGGTCATAGGGTCCTGGCTTTGCCCAGTCCTGAGTAGAACAGTGTGGTCAGGAGCCATGGGCCCCAACCCAGACAGGGGACTGCAGCCACCCACTCACAGCAGCCACACAAGGCAGCTCTGGCAGAGGCTAGCCCCTAGCCCTTCAGCTTGCCCACACTCACTGAGGGCCCCTGAGAACCTTCCCTCTCCTCATCCCTGCCTGAAGATCAAAAACTCTCTCAAAAACCAGGCAGGCAGAAGCCACCTGACAGGTGGCCATCATATACTAAAGCATCAGCCAGGAGAGAGCAAGCCACACCAAGGAGCCAGGTCTGCCCTTCTGCCCAAAGGAACCGCTCTACTACAGCAACTGAAGGACTTGGCTGACCACCAGGGGGCACTAAAGCACCACCAGTCATTCCACGGCTGTGGCATACTCCACTGCTGGGACCAGGATGAGGGGGACTCAAGGCTCTGCAGCAGGTTTTGAGGACTCTAGATGAAGTTATAACCTGCTCAAAATGCTGGCAGCCCAAGGACTGACTTAACATCCTGGAGCCCCAACTGCTCTGGTGGAAATCACTTAAGAGGTTGGTTTTTATATTGAAGCAAACGTGTTTCAATATAAAACAATCAAAAGCAAAGTTCATATACTACTGAGCTATGGCAGGATGATCTGATGCATACTCCATACTCCGGGCTGCGGTTCTGTTACTGCAGCAGAGCTGTCACTAGGGGGACAATGTGGGCATCTGGCCAGAGGATAATCTAGGCTCTGATAAAACACTGCAGATGGCCCAGGAGGGAGTGAGGCCAGCAGGCTCCACCCTGAAGCGGAGCCTGGCTTCACACTCCCTGCAGTGTCCTTATCTCCAGTCCCTAAAGGAAGACTCAGGTGTCTGTTCCATGAGGAAAGTATCTCCAGCTTTTTTTTTTTTTTTTTTTGTGCACCGCCCCCCACCCAGGTGGGGGTTGTCTTCCTGAGGAAGAAGGGTTGTGGGGAAGAAGGCAGAGTGTGAAAGTCAGGGTAGAGTAGAGGAGAGGATGATAGAACAGAAGAGGGGTGAACACAGAAGCAATGAAGGAGGGAGGGAGGGAAGGAAGTGAGGAGGGGAGGAAGAGAGGAAGGAAAGGAAAGGAAGAAGGGAAGGAGGGGGAGGAAGAGGGAGGAAGGGGGGGAAGGAAAGGGTGGGAGAGGAAGGGAGAGACACAAACCTTCCAGCTAGGGATCTGAGATGACGGGAACATGCCGGGCCCAATGGTGTAATAATGAGCGTAGTCAGGAAGGTGGACAGAGGTGACCCGAGGGAGCAGGCGGGAGGCAGGCAGGCAATGAGGGAAGGGGCCTGCACCCACGGGCCCTGCATGGGACTCACTTGATAAACTATAGTGAGAAAACCCATTAGACAACTGGAAATAAAAACAAAAAAGGGAGGAGAAAGGGGAAAAAATTAATATAACAGGATGAGTGTAGAGACACAGATGGCATTGACACTGAGGGCAGGAGGAAACCTGAATATTTACAAATCAAACCAACACTGGTTGCTCTTCTGCCTGTGGATTATGCTCAGTGCAGAGAACATATGGACTTGGCATGGACTTTGAATAGTTTAGAAATTGGCTATTGTCCTTAATTTGCAATGGTCTTGGTGTTTTGATTTTTTTTTTTTTTAAACCAGTGAAGCATAATTTCATTGTGCTAAGGGGTTGGCTCATCTCATTAAGCAAATCAGGATGTTTGGAGGTGTTTTCAAAGGATCTGTTCATTCGAGGTTTCCCAGCAGATTCCACATCAAGCTGAGGGGCCAGGGAGTGCAAACTGAAAGGCAGGAAAGCACATGGCCTTCAATACAGTGAGAGGTCACATCCAACAGGTTTGTGGGATGTTTGGGAAGGAAGGAGGGAGAACGGATGAACACAGACACCTGTTCTAGGAAGGAAGCCTTCACATCTCCAAATTCCCCATACCCCTTTCCTCTCCCCTGCTGACGACACTGGTGGGCAGCCAGGGAGCCTTCCACCTGTTCAAGTCCTATCCCAAAGAGGGCCTGGCTTCTGGTGAGGATCCTGAGTTTCCAGGTTCCTACAGCTGGGATGGCTGTGAGTATTCCAAGGCGGGGCAGACCAGGAAAAATGGCCCACCACGGCTGCGACCCTGGCCAGTCACCTTCTCTGTGGACACCCAGGCGCCCATGGTGGAGCCTGAGCTGACTGAGGTGGGGGAGCTGCACTCGCTCACTGACTGGCAGGTTTCCGATGCTTCTGAGGAGGCCGAGCTGGAGGAGTTCTGCAGCAGGGAGAAGCCACACGAGGGGACCAACACACCAAAGCAAATCAGGGGCCACCGGAAAGCATAATCAAAATAAAGGAAGAAGGACAAGGTGGGAAGGCATACAGACAGGGAGACAGAGACAGACATATACACAGAGGAGGGAGGGATGAGAGAAGCAGAGGGTGAGTTAAGGCTTGTTTTTCACACACACGGTTTTAAGAAAGCCCCTGAAAAGCAACATGAGACCGGGCCAAGCTCTGGCTCTGCTGACATCAACTGGCCCCTGTGCCTGGTAGAGGAATACTGGCTCAACACACTGGACCTCTAGGCAAGGCTCTGTGCTCTTGGGCATATGATAACACGTGCAAGCTCAGGTCCCTGGGGAGGACCTTATAGCACAGGCTCTGTACGTTGTACAGAACTGTCCCTAGGCAGGCAGTGGTTGAATGATGACACAAATGTCTCTAATTCGTAGCTTTTTGGGTCCAGCCCAGCTTCTATTCCATACAGTGGGACCTCCAGTCTAAAGACACACCTGAGGTTCTGAGCAGGGAAGCCCAGCGATCGCTGGTGCACTGCAGGTTGCAGCATCTGGAGAGGACCAGGTGGGGGACCATGTCCCAGTGCTGCTGGCGCTAAGTTTCACGAGACTGCCAGTCTCCTGCCCCTAGCCTGGCTTCTTGAAACCCTGCTGTACTAGGTAGGGACCCTCGCCATTCTGGTCATTGTTAGGCTTCGACCCGAGGTGGTTCAAATGAAAATGGTCTCATAGGCTTGAATATGTTGGACTACTGGGCTCCACTTGGTGAAACTGAGCTGTGTCACTGGATATAGTCTTTGAGGTTTCAAAAGCCCATGCCATTCTCCGTTAGCACCTCTTTCTTCATGCCACCACCTCCTTCCTCCAAGTCCCGCACTGTTACCTGCAACCTCTAGCTTAAGCCCGCCTGCAGCACTCTCATTTGCCTCCTGAGCTGTGCCTGGGCCAAATGTCAAGGAGGCCAAATTCATGCTTCTATCCCTTCTATCTCAAAAGGGTAAAGGAAATGAGTCTTAGCTTCCCAATCTGCAAGGGCAAAGGACCAAATGCATACTCAGTAACTCAGCATCTGGTTGAACTCATGATCAGGAATGTAAAGATTTGGATTGATGCTTTATCTCTACCACTCTCCAGCTGTGCAACTGTGGACCTGAAGCTCTGAGTCCAGTGTTTTTCTCCTTGAGAATGGGATCAGCAGTATCTAACTACAGGGAAGGGTAGGTAGAACCCTTTGGCTGGTGGGATTCAGAAAATGTCTTACAAGTTCCTCTTTACTGTATGATTGCAAGCAGCTATGGTGCCTGAAAACTCCTTTAAGTTCTGCAGAACGCTTTGGCTCATTAAAACCACCCTAAAGGCCAGGGAAGTAAGACAATGGCCAATCATTTACCTGTGAGAGTCCCTGGCTTCCACACACAGCACCAACAAAACACACAGAAAGCCGTGTGTGTGTGTGTGTGTGTGTGTGTGTGTGTGTGTGTGTGTGTGTGTACACGCGAGTGTGTGCGGTATTTGTCTGAGTGTATTTGTGAGAGCCAGAGGTTGATGCTGGTGTCCTCCTCTACTGCTGCCAACCCTGCTTTTTCGAGACAAGGTCTCTCACCACACCCCGAAATCACTGACTGGCCACATTAACTTGCCAGCAGGCCCTGGGATCCACCTGTCTCCACCCTCCCAGTGGTAACTAAGGTGACAGGCATGTGCCACTTCACCTGATGGGTGCTGACGATCCAAATTTGAGTCTCTGTGCTTGAGGGGCAGGTGTTCTACTAACGGAGCCAGCTCCCTGGCCCCAGAAACTCCTCTCTTGAGTACTAGCCAAACAGGTACAGGCTTTCCGGTTTCAGAAACCCCCAGTTTACCATCTTTTGCTTCCCTAGGCATTACCGGAGGCAGAAACCATGCTTGGGCCATCAACAGAAGTATGAAAAGGACAAAAGGCTTTGCTTTTTCAGGAAGGTTATCGGGGTACAATAGGATGTTAATTTTCAATCCATTAGAAACAGACACAGCTATAATGCACATTAGAAGGGCCTTTCAGGAAGCAAAGAGTCTCCCCTCCAGAGCATGTGCACTCAGCTTGGGAACACAGCAGGCTTGGCTTAGTGAAGCACATAACAGGGACAATGGCCTTGGGGCCAGGCCAAAGCACCCCAGCTAAGACAAGCACACTGAAAGGAAATGCCATACCTCAGATGGCTAAAGAATGCTGACGCGCTCTGAATACAAGGTTCTGTACTTGCTAACCTTGGCTGAGCAACAAGGTTCTCTGGCCCAGCCTCCTCTCCCCCAGCAGGTGGCGCTGTGGGATCCAATAGGTCGTGGCACCAATCACTGTGTACCCTGTCCTAATTAACGAGTCGTAAGGCCAGAGGTGACAAACTGGCCTAAGAAACAGGCACCCTGAGGGGCACATACACCAACAACCCACGTGAGATGTACCCAATGCTTGGTCTGGTTCCTGCCTGCTTTGGCAGCAGGGACACTGGACTTGGCGGGGGCCATCCAAACTACAGTAGATGTTGAGTGCTTGTACTCAGTCATACCAAGTTGATTGGCTGATGTACAAACCAACACACATCTTTGCTTCTCCCAGGATCAAAGTGCCAATACAGTTATCCACAGGGGATCTGACAGCCATTCTCACTGGCCACATAACTGCTGGTGTGGAGTAACAGAATCACTATTGATATAGGGTCTCCGCCCCTGGGGAGAACCGGAGATGGTGTGAAGAGGGTGTCCCCATAGTAGAGCGCACCATCACACCAGACTGGACACTACAGGGATGCCAGAGAGTCCCAGTCTCTTTGAGGCTACCAACCTACTTACCAAACCAACACGGCATTTTAACTACTGCTGGATGCTGAGACAGGCTTCCAAGCCCAACTCAGAGCATCTGTCCGTTTGGGGAATATCTTAAACATGAGGATTAAATGACCCATCAATGGTGGGGAGGGAACCCTGTTGCTCTCTGGGCTGAGGGCATCCTTACCTGGTTGGCAGCCTCAGGTGGCATGGGAGAGGGTGACTTGGACTGGAAGGCGTCCTGGGATATGAATCCTGAGTCGTGGGAGGACACGCTGCTCAGCCTCACAGGGGCCTGCTGGGCCAGGTTGGAGCTGCGGTAGCGGTAATGCGAGCTGGGGGAATGCGAGTGGGAGCCGCTGGACCGGGAGTCGCTGCTGTTGACACTGTTCAGGCTGCTATAAAGGACAAGCAGAGGGGACAGGTGTGGAGGGGAGGGGGGCAGTGGTGAGAAGAACGAGGGGGAGAGACAGGAAGGTCCAAGAGAATAGTATCAGCTCCCTAGCCTGGAGAAGTGGTACAAACTCAGGACATGCTGGCAGAGACCACACTGGGCAGGTGAATGAAAGGCTTTGGATGAATAGCAAGAAAGCTGGGTCTCAGACCTCAGAAGTACAATGTAATAGTCGAAGTATACAAACCTTTAAAAGCCAACGAGGTCCAACTCTACCAACAAAGCTGGGGCACTAACACTTGTGATACACAGAGAGAAGTGCGAGTGATCTTATCTGCCTGCAGTAGCCATGACCCTGGGGCAAAACCCACTAAGTCCACAGCATGTGACATGGGCTCACATCCTTTGACAGACTAACTGGGTCCGGAAGACCGGGAGGCCATATAGCTAAACAGCAGTGACAGACATTCTACGCTGATTCTAGCCAAAGCTGGGTTCTGTCCACCAAAGCACTTGGTGTGACCCAGTGTGGGCCCTATGTATTTACAGAGCTGGTGAGCTGACTGTCGGCTTTACTCCTTCATGGGTGTTTCTCCGTGGGCCGGGTGTGACAGCACAGGCAGCTCTCGATGAGGACAGTGTATCAGTGGTAAGGTGCTTACTTCTAGGGTGAACCATTAAGTAGGATGTAGGACAATGGTTCCCACCCTGGAGGTGCTCTGTCTGCATTTCTTCCCTAGGATGAACAGACATGCTCCTATGGAAACCTGAGAGCTGAGTCGAGTCCCGGGTCCAGGCAAGCAGAGATCAAGTGTTTTTACAGAAACAACTGGAGGATGAAGCGTCCAAGCAGACTGGGGAAGCCTCGGAGTCTGCAGACTCATGGCTTCTGTTTTGAAGGATGCGTTAGGGGAACGCACCATGTTGGCTGGCCTATGCTCGGGTGACTTGCAGTGATCCATCAGACAGGGGAGAGTGACAGAGGAAACAAACAGCTGCAGAGGATGTAGGAACTACGGGGGGACAGACTCGGGGATTCCAGCCAGAAGACGGCAGTTGAGGACTAAAAGGAAAGCTCCTGTCAGTGCAACTGAACAAGGCTGTGAGGAGAAGGCGGTGTGTGCACTAATGAAACAAAAAAGGATTTCCCTCTGTCTCACACAAACACAGCGCCCATGTGGGCGGCAAGAAACCAAAGCAGCAACTTCGGGGAAGACGTCAAGACACAGCCTCTTCCTTGGAACTGCCTGCCACACGTACCACAAGCTCCAGAGAGAAAGGAAACACCGGAGGCTAGTGGGAGCCACCTCCCTAACAGACTGAGATGAGCCCCTGCTCCTTCCCCTCCAGGCCACCTCACAGCCAGCTGGCTTTGCAAGTCAGGTCAGATGATCAGCAGCAGGTGCACCGCACCAAGGCAGGAAGTGACTGATGTCTGATGGTGCTTCCACCTTTGAAGAACAGAACAAACTTTCCCCCTCAGCGGGCCAAGAACAGCTGCCTTGTGAATCTAGTAATGGTCCTATAGGTCCCAGGACCCTTCCAAAGGGCTCTGTATCCATAAATAACAGTGGGCAGTGTGTGGGTGCTGGAGAGGAAAACACAACCACCAAACAATAACTGCATGGACTTTAAGACTACAGAGATGTGGGGTAAAGCATGGCTTGAAGCCATTGTGACTCCTGTTTCAGCTACTGTTGAATCAACTTCTTTAAAAAAAAAAAAAAAAAAAAAAAAAAGGTCAACCCTGGGCTTGCTGGTGGAACACTTGTGGGGTGGGGTGGGCAGACAGACAGCCTAAAAAGTGAGAACATTCTTTGCCTTACTACTTCCCGCTTCAAATGGGCTCCCTTTGCCGATAAAGCCCGGCCCCTGGTCATCTTCACTTTAAGATGTCTTGGAAAGCATCAGGAGACCAAGGTTTCACTTACCTGCAGACGCTTGACTTTCTGGACATGGTAGTGCTGGGGGAAGAGGGTGGCGTCTGATATGACCAACTATAATCAGAACCTTTCAAGTCCAGAATCACCTAAAGGGACAGAGCAGATGGGTAATGGTGGAGGGGGCAGGGCTTCACCCACACATCTGGTGAAATCAAAACGCTGCCCGCACAGGGATGGAATTAAAAGAGAAAATGCATGTTTCAGCCATGCTACCCATCCTCCAATGTCACAGTCGTTCTAAGACAAGCAGGAAACTGGAGTTAATGGGGAGGGGGAGTCAGAAGAGGAAAAGCATGAAACACCAGGAGAAAGAGGTAATTACTGCAACAGATTAACAACTCCTGAAAGCTATTTTTACCGTAGGCTAAAACCAGCAGCATTTTCAGCCTGGAGCTCCATAAAGAGAATAATGGTTTGGGGGCTTGCTGGCTGCACTTTTAACCACTTGATGTTCCGCAGTCACCTGTGTCCTATTTGGCCAGAGCCAGAAGCACGAAAACCTCACAGACTCAAGACTAAGCCTGTTGCCATTATTTCTGTTTGTCTCCCTTGTGACAAAGAGGCATTGAGTGTATAATCTTACCTCTTGCTCACTTTAAGAGGCACTCCACTAACGTCTACTTATTGAGTCAACAGACAGAAAACCACAAAGCTTCCAAATTTGCCTTCTGAGCTGGCTGTCCAAGCAGACCATGAGAACGCATGCATGCGAAGCACCCAGAACAGCCTGTGATTCATCAGTTGTTCCCCCAGACATGTCTCTTCCCACTTGATACAGTATTAATGTCACAAATGAGTAAAGCATTTTAAAATACGCCATCCTTTCCCCAGATGGGAAAAGCTGTCATGAATGACTTGATTAGCTCCAGGGAGGATTGCAAACCATGACGACGGAATGACAAGATGTCAGGTTCCTTTGCTAGCTCATGCCTGAAGAGTGGGTGAGCACAGGATCTGGTCTTGGATCACTTGACTCAAGTCCTGGCCTCCCCACTTAGTAGAGTGGTGGCCTGGGTTAAGAGTCTTCGTCTCTCAGTACCTCGCATCTTTCCCTACAAAATGCGTGTAACAGTGAAGATGAACTAAAGTAGTTCATGTTGGGTTTCAGACCTGGCCACCCAGATTATCCCAGAATCCCTCAGTCCCTACCTGTTGCAGGGTATGGCTAGCATATGCCACCCTCTGCCCTGAACTTTTCAGCCCAGGGGCTGGGCTTCCCCTCCCCCAGAGGCTCTTCCCTATATAATCCAGACATTTCGCATTCGAGCTCTCTCCCTTCCTCTCCCTCTCTCCATATGGTCTTTCTTTCTCTCCCTAGTCTCCCTGACTGTGCAGCAACTTCTTTGCCCTTGTTCCTTGGGACTGGTGAACCTGACTAAGAGCTACCACGAATAAACCTGCTTTCATATGCCTAATTCAGCTTGAACTGGCTTGCTTCATGGGCAGAGAAAACCTGAGTCCACACAAAGGATGCCAATATAGCATAACCCCGTGGCTGGAAACAGTGACTGCCACATGTGATATTGTGAAGAACATGACAATATACCGCTATAATTTCAGGTACAATAGATGTCACAGGGACGACCAGAGCCCTGAATTCCGTACCTTTGACTTGTCCCTGACTGCTTGGTCCACAGTTCCTACCTGTTCACTTGAGGAGGGCAGTTTGTGGGGGTCCATGGTCAGGCTCTTTAGGTCTTCCGATATGGTCTGCAGGTGGGTGATCTCCCCTAACATGGAGATCTCTTCCTCCTAAAGGGGACAATTCATGGACATCATCACGTGGATTCCCTCAATTTCTTGTTCCAACCGCTTCTTTCTGGGTCACTGCATGACCTTTTAACCTTTCATGAAAGGCATATGAGACAGGAATCTAAGGTGATATATGTACTTTGTTTTTGGAAAGAGAAAGGGAAAAGGAAGTCATAGAGTGACCTGTGTGTTGGGGCAGCAGAGCCTCCTCCCAGTGCCTGGGCACTTCCAGGCCCATAGCTTCCTGGTCTGCACATGTGCTTTCAGGGACCGACATGACTCGGGGATGTTTGGGTCTACGGCTCTGTGTGACAGTACAAGTATGTCCAGTAGAGCTAACTGTCCCCCTTTCTTGGCCCCTGTCCCACTTAATAACCGGAAAGTGGGGTGGAAGCAGGGACTGTGAACATTTTGGTCACCTTCCCAAGTACCAGCAGGCACTGCAGGCCCAGGTTCAGAGCGAGGAAACGCCTCAATTCTGAGATCCCTCCAGCATGGAGCCTCTGGCAGCCTCCAAGAACGGCTGCTGCAAACTCAACTGCAGCATGCACACGAATTCCTTAGAAAGTAAGCGAGAGCTGGACCACCAGGATGCTTCCTGGGCCTTACGACACAGATGCACTGGGCCCCAGGCTTAGAGCTTCACATAGAACGGGTCTAGAGTGGGCCTCAATGTTCCTATCCAGTTGACAGGCTCTGCTGACCTGGAACTCCACTTTAAGAACCTTTAAATATGCTTTTGTTTGTTTTCTGCAACGGGGAGAGGCGGGAGTGTTGAGAACAACTCTCCCTCCGTGGCTCCAGGTATCCCAGACTTTGCTATGTAACCCCAGCTTGCCTAATATTCACAGCAATCCTTGTGGATCAGTCCCCGCAGTGCCAGGATTACAGGCTTGTGCCACCATGCCCAGACCTCCTTAACTCGCTGGAGAAATCAAGTAGGACAGGTGTTGCTAAGAATTGTGAATGAGGAGTGGGCCACATGGACGTCAGCACCTTGCTGAGAATCTGGTGTATGGACATGTTTCTGCCATTGTGATTGCTGACAGCGCTAGGCTGCCAGGGGACGCCCCTCCACACCACGCAGACCAAGCCTTCTGGAGCTTTCCATCAACTTACAATCACTGGCCGGAGCATAGAGATGAAGGTGCAGAATCGGCCCCGCTCTTCAATCAGCGCTTTGCGCACGGCCTGCTTTTCTGTTTCTTCCAATAGGAGATATTTATCATTGACATCCTGGAGAGCGCTGTCCAATTGAGGCTGGATGTCGCCTCTCCCTGTGAACAGAACAAGGCCGTACGGTCAGCTTCTAGAACAATACTCCCTTCTCTCCTTACTAGAGACTAAGGTACCCTTTTCCAGGACTTAAAAATGTTGCTTATTCATGGCTTCCAAAAGGCTGAAAGAAAATGGCTGCTTTTCTAGGGGCATATCCTTCCAATTTCCAACATATGAATGCTTATTTGTGACTGAGGAGCATCTTCTACGGTGACTTCCTGGCTTGCACTCTTGCCTTGTGCAACCCTGCAGAGCCCAGTGCCAGCAAACCCTCAGGACACACAGCAACAGCATTCTTTTCTTCAGAGCATCTTGAGGAGGCTCAAGATGAGGAGCAAGGTGAGAGGCTAGGGATGTTTCCAAAAATGGATACAAGCTGGCTTTGTCAGGTCTACCTCAATTAAAGAGCCTCTGTTTGGGCAAAAGTTTCAGTTCCTGAAGACAAAGGTGGGTTATTCAGCTCCTGGCCCTGGGACATAGAAATCTTTGGCAGTTCATCTAACATCCTAACGAAGGGCTTCAACACCCTTCCTGTAGAAGGAGCCTGGTAACCAGATGTCTATAGTTAGGTCTTTGCTGGTGACAAAATGAAAGACAAAGCTACACTGAGCAGAGCCCAGATTATTTACTTATTTGAACATACCCCAGACCCTACTTAACCAAAGAGAATAGAAAAGGAATAACTATCTGTGTAAATAAAGTTTTACTAGAATACAGGCAGATCTACTCATTAACATACTGTCTGCATCCTCTCCAGCTGCCTATGTGGCCCAGAGACCAAGAATATTTGGCCTTTTGCTGCACTAGAAAATAAATGTGAGCAGGAAGGTACTAAGTCCAAAGGAGCAGCTAATGTAGATCTGACCTGTTGATGGGGACACCAGGGTCACACACAGAACACCAGCTCTTAATCTTCCATATCATACTTTCGGCAAATCAGGTTTAGCTGCACCCAAGCCAGAGAAAGAATTTCTAAGCTCCTTCAGGGCATGGTTTAGCCCTCAGAGTATCAACATGTGTATAAAGCAAGCCTTCCTAAGTACTTGCTTCATAATTTAAAAAACAGATGGAACTGGAAGGGGCTTCAAGGTTTAGCCTATATGTTTGTGTTGAGGAGGAGATCAAAGCTCAGAGAAGTTAAAGGATTCATCCACGGTAGAGATCGGGGGTAGGGCCCACACAGCCTGACTCCCTGAGCAGTCCTCCTGTCCTCTCTGTCCACTGTCTCGGGCTGAATGAGTCAGCTGCCATGTAGAAAACTGCTGGACCAATTGTCAAAGCTGCCTCCTTACAGACAATGTGTAGAACAGTAAATGTACTGCATCATTCAGTGCAAAGAGAGACAGGTCAGGGAAGCCTGCCTTGGCTATAGGAATAGATCCTGTCCATTTTCTCATGACCAGATGAGAATGGTGAACGTAGACCAACAAGTTTAACAGAACTTCATAAAACTCCAGACTTCATAAATTCCTAGAGAAAATATCCACACTTTAGTAAGGAAGAGCAATTTGTACGGGAAAGTCCTAATTTAGTACATAACGGGCAAATCACATAGTCAAAGCCCACCCTTGGAAATGCTTTGGATGAGCAGTAAGCTCAACACCCAATTCTGCATATAAATAACCCTCACTAGCTCAAAGTACGTACAAACCATGCATAGTACCTAAGAACATAAGTGGCTGCTACCAACGATCACCTTCTCCACAAAACCTGCTTCTTGAGAAATTTCCAATATTCACGGGGTGACCCAGCCTTCCACTAAGTCACTACCCATCCCTCCAGAGAATCCTTTATGTCTTTAATGTCTTCATTCAGCATGAAGGGCACCAGCCATACATACGACCTGTGCCCTGGAACTACTGGTCTCAAGGGTAGTGAAGCATCGCCTATGCTCTGCTGGGATGTTCCACGAGCAAGCTCGCTCTCTCTGGTGGATGTCTACCCTGCTGGGGCCTGACTCCAGGAGGAAAAGCAGGACCCGTCAACGCCCTGACAACTATGGATTCCCTGTTCACTGTGAAATGCTGACCTGTGTGAACAAGCCCATGCGTGCTGAGTGTCTCTATCACACAACCCCGCTGACAGCCAAGCGCTGGCGCTTTTGAACACCTGTTCTTTCTCTCTAGGCCGTAGGACAACGCGGCCCAGGGCAGGGATGGGGGTAGTGCTTCCTCAGTCACTCGGGCTCTTCTCTGCTTTCTTAATAGCCAAACACACCAGACCAGAAAATTCTTAACTTGGGGGTAGGGACATGAGGTGGGAAGAGCTGGAGCATGCTGGAACAGAGAATAGATCTATGTGTGATTTTTGGCCAAACAGGCTGGGAATATTTTGATTACAGGGAAAAAAAAATTCTAATTTTTTTAAAGATATATTTATTTTAATTGTATGAGGATTTTGCCAGCATGTATTTTGTGCAATACCCGTTTAAGCCAGAAGAGGGCTTCGGAACCCCCGGAACCAGAGTTCCTCTTCCTGGTTACTGGTGTGCCTTGTGCTGACCTACCTCTCCAGCATCTACAGAAGAAAAACTTTAAATAACAGACTAGGGGTGGGGAGATGGCTCAGTAATCAAAGTGCTTGTCTCACAAGCAAGAGGATCGGAGTTCAAATCTCAAGCAAGCCACATCAATGGTGGGTATGCAGAGCAGCCCACCTTAGTCCCAGCCTCAGAAGCTGGAGACAGGATCCTGAGCGAGCTGACTAGTGAGACTACCCTTGTGGACTAGCTCTGCCTCTGACTGAAGGGACCTGCTTCAAAAGAGCACGGCGGGAGAGCAATCAGAGTCCCGAAGTCAACCTCTAGCCTCTAGCCTCTACATACATGCATGTATACATGCATGCATACATACACACCCACACAAAGGAAAAAGTCTACAATCCTAAGATAAACTGCATCTTGACTTCCCACATGCAAGTCGTAAACGTGTCTATTTGTAATTAGTAACAGCCTTTTGTTCTGGGTGTGATGGTGTGGGCCTGTAGTCCTGGCACTCAGGAGTGTAAGGCAGAAAGATCGTGAGTTTAAGGACAACCTGGGTTACATACTAAGACCCTGTCTCAAAAAACAAAAAACCAAAACAAACAAAAACATATGAGAAGAAGAAAATACAATATGCTTTAAAAATAATGTATGTACCTAAGAAAGGAGAGTGAGCATATATGATCAAATGGTTGTGTGTGTGTGTGTATATGATTATTGTGAATTTATTTTAAATATCTATTGTGTTATAATTAGAGGACTTTAAAATTACAGCATTCTAAAATAAGTATAAGCTATAAAGATTGCTCTAATTATGGTTATAGTGGGAACATTTCTATTTAGGCTATAGCATACTAAAACACAATGATTATTTTTTTCCCACTTCTCTAACACACCATATAATTATATTTATTTTGCACACACACAGTATATATTAAACATTTACTTACATGTAAAGCACTGCTGAAGGAATTGTTTCAGCCCCAGTTGAACACACCGATTTTAAGATTCATCTTGGAGCTCCACAAATTCTCAACGGCACTAGTGCTGACCTGACTATACCTATCTCTTGGTATCCCCAGAAGACTGGTTGTAGCACCTCCCTTTACATGCCTAAGTCCCTCAGTCTCTAACTGAAATGATCAGACCCGCATTCTCCCATGCACTTTAAATCACCTCTAGATTACACGTCATACCTACGCAAAGTACATGCTACAGCAACAGTTAGTACATACAGTGCTTTGAGTAGTTATGGCCCCTGTAAACCATGTGTTTGAATGTCTGGCTCATGGGCAGGGGCACTATTAGAAAGTGTGTCACTGTGGGGAGGGGCTTGAGGTCGCCTATGCTCAAGCTCCCCCAGTATGGGACACAGTCTCCTCCTGCTGATTGAAGATCAAGATGTAGCGCTTCCCCTCGTCTGGCCCGTGTCTGCCTGCCTGCTGCCAGGCTGATAATGGACTAAACCTCTAAGTTAAATGTTGTCCTTTATAAAACCTGCTGTGGTCATGGTGTATTTTCACAGCAATGGAAGTGACGAGTCTGCAGATGCTCAGTACAGGTACAATCTTAGAAACATTTCAACTGTGCGCTGACTTGGAATCCGCAAGTCCAGAGGGCTGATCTGCAAAACTCCCAGCACTTCCCCCTGGCAGCGTCCCTGAAAGAGGGCACACGCTTCCTTAATTGAGCCTAGGCAAGGATGGTGGGTTGGTTGGTTGGTTATTTGAGATTTGTTTATTTATTTTGTACGTATGGGTGTTCTGTCCACATGCATGTCTGTGTACCACTCACATGTAGTCCCTGCAGAGGCCAGAAGAGGACATCAGAACTCCTGGAACTGGAGTCACAGAAGGCTGTGGGCTTTGTGGGTGCTGGAAACGGAATTTGAGGCTTCTGGAAGAGGAACCAGTGCTCTTAACTGCACTGTTGTTTTGTTGTTGTTGTTGTTGTTTTGTTTGTTTTTTCCCCAGTCCCAAAGCACTGACCATTCTTGCTCCCACACAAACTCTAGCCCCTTGCCTGACCTCTGCTCCCTCCATGCTGGCCTCCACCATGATCTCTGAAATGGAGCTTCTACAGAGTTCTATAGCCACACTTGAGCTTTCCCAGAAGCTCCTGAGCTGCTTTCCCAGGGCAAATATTACCACACTCCCTCAGCAGCTCCCACTGCTCCCAGGAAAAGTCCAACATCAAAAGTTCAAGACCCTTAACAAAGCCTACCCTGCAAAGCATGCAAGGGTCACTGCTGTCCACTCACAAGCTCAGCTTCTCCTGCCTCTCCCTGCTTTTCCCAGCATTGGGGACTGTTCATCTTCACATATGAACCTCCTCCTCCATGCCTGCTTAACCTAGCTAATCTCCCATCTTTGGGGCAGCTCTGTCCCCAACCAGGGCTCTCCTCCTTGACCTCAGAAGTTCTTTCTCCCTCTCCTTCACTATGAGGCTCTCTTTCAAATTTCCTGTGTTACTAACCTTAGTTATTTATTAACTCAAGCTCAGTCTACCCTGCAGGCA